GGTGATTGATACATAAATATGTAAGGATTGAGTGGTATGTATGTAAGTCTTCCAATATTTAAACAAAAAAAGTTATTTCAATGTATGCCTATAAGAGTTACAATAAATTGAACCTTGTTGTGTACTGGAAAATTCGTGGTGGTAGAGTAATAATTTAACGTCTTAGTGTTACACGAAGATTCAATACACACACGGATAAAAGAAAAGTAAAAGAATATGACACTAAGATTTTTTACATATAAAAACATTGAGAAGGGAAAAAAATCATAGAGCGTGTCTCAATCAAAGCAATTCACTTTATATTTGTAATTACATAAGTACACCCTTCTCTCACGATAGAGCGAACGAGGTCACAATTTTACATTGAAAATTATACTTATCTTTTTATAGCTAAAAAATATCAGTGCTAGAAAATTCAACAACAACCGTATTATACTACAACGGTTGTAAGCATTGGTTGCCTACAGTCGATGGTCGGCGGTTGTAGAAGTTGTTCGACATTGGTCGGTGATCGACAATGGCTAGCACTTACAAAGGCCGGTTGTTACCCGTTGGTCTTTTCTCTATACTAGGCTCAAAAATTTAACTTCTCATTTTTTTCATCTTCTCCTCCCCACCAGTGAAGAAATTGAGCTTAATTTTTATAACTTTTTGGGGATGGACATTTTGATCATTTAGCGCATAACTTTCCTAACCATCTGATCGAATGGTCAATGCTGACCCCCCCTTAGTTATAAGTAATTTTTTAAGAATTTTGGTGGCTTAATAACCCTGTGATTGAGTGATTTTAGCCTAATTGAATTCCTGTCATCGAGACGCTCGATTGAACTATAAAAATTTCAAATTTTGAATTCATTTGATCATTCAACTGACAATCCAAATGATCAATTTATGCTTCAATGAATTGATTTGGGCTTGATTATACCCAAATTGAACCAATTTTAAAGTCATCGGCTCGTCTTCCCGAGACATTCAGTTTGATTATAACTTTGATGAAATGGGAGCTTGGATAATCATGAACTTGAATTTGGAATCTCTCTTATAAAAAATGCATCATCCGTGCTTAATTACATAAATTTTAGTGATATAATAAACCTAAAGTTATTAAATGTATTATAAGACTAGTGCAATATATAATTTTTCTCTGTGAAATCATCTTGGACATCGATATGTATTGTGCAAGTTTAGTCAATTCAATGCATAATATGTGTAAGACTTGTGAGCAATTAGCCTATTTTATAAACCACTCGGATCGACATTGAAATGATTTGATTTACAAATAAATCAAGTGTCTTATGTATGGCTTTTCCCTTAATAGTTAAAAGTAAGGCCAAGAGGTTGGTCGTCCAATTTAGATGGCTAAAGTGTTCTAAGTCACTCCCAACAAAAAATAATTAACACAATCTTTATTATTTCATTAGATTCATGAAGGACTATCAACTAGATGTATAATAATTAGTCATTGGCCAAGGTAACTCCTGTGAAATTGTAAAGTTTAGTTCCTAAATTGACTCAAGTTTGGTGTGAATAACTTTATTGTGATATCATAAGCCGTCAAACTGATTGATTCTCACGAAAATTTTCGTCATCATTAGGGCTGTCAAAACGGCTCATTGTTCTCGAACAGCTCGTGTTCGGCTCATTAATTTCGTTCGATAACTTAAACGAGCCGAACATGAACTAAGATGTGTTCGTTCGTGTTCGGATCGTAAAAATCTAATTGACTACAAGGCTACAAAGACTTATAATCAATTAAAATATTGATTAAGAAAATTGAAAGAAAATATTAAATTAGATTCAAATGATGTTTTAATA